TGGAGGCCTGGCCTGCTCTCAGGGCAGTTTCCCCTGATGGTCACTCTCTGTAAAACGGAAGCTTAGTGACCAGGTGGAGCCAGGACCAGCAAGAGAATACGATGGACCCAAAGGCAAACAGACTATCTGTGGGCCTGGGTCAGCATGGCACCGCAATGTTCTGGAGACATATTTGCACAGAAAAGTTGCAGGGTGTTACCTGTTTCAGTGTAGAGCAACCCCAGTTGATACTCACTTTCTGTGCGTATTCACGCCTGTGTCCATGGTGTATGGAATTCACTGACATGCCACCCCCCAACCGCAGTTTTGAAAGAAGGCAGCTCCCTGGTTCTCTGCTCCCACGGGTGCCCTCTGCCAGGGTATGTCTACACTAGCCCGCTAGTTCGAACTAGCGGGGTTTTAAAAATGGCACCTCCCCGCTTATGCAAATGAAGCCCGGGAAATTCAAATCCCGGGCTTCATTTGCAAGTGCGGGATGCCTACATTACCCCGCTAGTTCGAACTAGCGGGGTTTTAAAAATGGCACCTCCCCGCTTATGCAAATGAAGCCCGGGAAATTCAAATCCCGGGCTTCATTTGCAAGTGCGGGATGCCTACATTACCCCGCTAGTTCGAACTAGCGGGGTTTTAAAAATGGCACCTCCCCGCTTATGCAAATGAAGCCCGGGAAATTCAAATCCCGGGCTTCATTTGCAAGTGCGGGATGCCTACATTACCCCGCTAGTTCGAACTAGCGGGGTTTTAAAAATGGCACCTCCCCGCTTATGCAAATGAAGCCCGGGAAATTCAAATCCCGGGCTTCATTTGCAAGTGCGGGATGCCTACATTACCCCGCTAGTTCGAACTAGCGGGCTAGTGTAGACATACCCCCAGATAGCCACCCTCCTCCCTTTGCAATGGCAGCGACATAGCAGAGCGATTCTCTGCTGCCGCTTGCCTCGTGGCCTTTCTGTCGTGTTGACGCCACCTCTGCAACGGATGTCTAGGATCCGTGGTCGGATTTCCAGGCTGTGCCGTGATTCCTGGGGTGCACAAGGAGCTGGTGGCTAACGCAGTGCAGCGTGGGAATGGGGATGGAGGGAGGAAAGCAGACGTGGGACCAGTGTGTAGTAACACCTTGCTGGGCTGCAAACGGCAGGCGTTTCTTTTGTTCGTTCCCAGTGCAGTTCCTTACTCAACACACTCCAATGATGTGTTTGCACCAAATAGTCACCCACCGGTTCCCTAACTGCCGAGCGATCTCCAGGCTTGCTCAGTCCTGCCAGCAAAGTGGGAGGGGAGAAGACCATACAACCCTCCTTCTTTGGGAATTTAACTGAGGAACTCATTTGAGGCCAGTTGTCTCTGAGCGTGGCCACTTGCAAATTGTTGGTCCTCTGCGTCGGCTCCCTTTTGCTGCTGACCTTTCTGGGGTGGCCAGGAAGAAAGAGGGTAAATGGCTCGTAATGCAGGTTTTGAACGTGTGGCGCGTTTACATTTCCACAGTGCATTTTACATGTCTCCCCTCAGGTTTCTCTTGGTGCAGCGTGTGTGGGCGACGGCCCTGCTGTGAATTTTGAAAATAGTTATTTTTGTCTCGGGCAAAGGAGGCCTGTTAAGAGCTTGTCAGCTTTTGGATGAGCCGTGTGGGCTTTTTTTTTTTTTTTTCAACATCATATTCATTTTAAATCTGTCACTGAAGGATATGACAACTGGCAGCATTTTTTACTGGCTACCTTGAGGTGGGTCGATTCTATGTGTGTGTGAGGAGAGAGGGAATATAGGCAAGGCTGGGGAAGGGAGAGAAATGCAATGACATCGGTATTTTTATTGTTATGATTAAGATTATTTGGCAGATAGTGATTTTACATAGCAAAGGAGGGGGAACCACAAGAGAAAGGGGAAGCCATGTTACCCTGGAGATGGGCGAACATGGGAACTTTAGCCACATCCACAAGCAGGGCATGAATCTATCTATGCGGCACCCTTTGCTGCACTACGGCCCTGATCCTGCAAGTTGTTCTGTGGGGCCACACCCCACTGTGCAGTTCAATGGGGCTCGACGTGGGCTCCAGGGCCTGGCCAGGTGGAAGAGCTTTCAGGGTTAGAGTATAAAGCACTTTGCAGAGTCTCCTATCAAACTCACAGAAAGGGATGGTCGTTTCTTTCTCCGCATCCCCGGGTTGAAAGCTGGAGCCTGATGAGCTGAGCTGAGATCTGCTCCATTTGGGAGGGAGGTATTCGGATGCGGGGATGGGTCCCGGTTTTGGGTCGTCTCTCTGTCAAGCGGAAGTGGGCAAAACTGGCATCAAAACTGGTTTTCCAAAACCAAAGCCAACAGCAGCAGTGCTGGCTGAGATTGAAGAGGCATTTATTCAGCTTTGCCATCACCCCAGCCAGTATAGGGCTGGGGGCAGATCAATGGTTGTAGCATTGACCGTCTCTCTGGAATTGTGGCAAGATTATGGGGACCAGTTACAGAGCCACTTACCTTAACAGCCCTAAAGTCACCTAACCAGCTCTAATAACCCAGACTATGTTCCCTCTAAACTTTTCTATACATGTGCGGATTTTTTCCATCCATGTGTGGAATACTTTTTTTATGTGCACCAAGGCATGTGTGAATGTGCACCACCAGGAGAAACAAAACCTAGCTGTGGGCGCTCTGCTAATCAGCTGGGCAGCATTTGAATTTCTCCTGAGCAGCTGCCCAAGAGCTCAGCTTACAGGGAACACTGAACCCAGGGAAGAGACTATGTTTTCTAACAAGCCACTTTACCACAACTATCATCATGGCAACAGAGTGGAGTATTCCTTCTCTGTGCACCATGCTTCCTTGAATGAATAAACAAGTCAGATTTCAATTATAGCCTCTCCCCTTTTAACAAAGCACTTCAGCAGTTGCTTAACTTTAAGCCCATGTTTGAGTGTGTCCCTATCCAAACACATGAGCACACACATAAATGTTTTGCTGAATAAGGCTAGATTTAAGTACAGGCAGTCCCTGGGTTACGTACAAGATAGGAACTGTAGGTTTGTTCTTAAGTTGAATCTGTATGTAAGTCGGAACTGGCGTCCAGATTCAGCCGCTGCTGAAACTGATCAGTTTCAACAGCGCCATGTTTGAGTGTGTCCCTATCCAAACACATGAGCACACACATAAATGTTTTGCTGAATAAGGCTAGATTTAAGTACAGGCAGTCCCTGGGTTACGTACAAGATAGGAACTGTAGGTTTGTTCTTAAGTTGAATCTGTATGTAAGTCGGAACTGGCGTCCAGATTCAGCCGCTGCTGAAACTGATCAGTTTCAACAGCG